CAACTAGCCCCTGGATTAAAAACATACATAGATGCGCTGGAGAGCAGAGTCTTTCATCAGGACCCCACTGCAACCACACCTTGGCACTCTCAGCTTTGACAAAGTGCACTCTCTCCTCTCACTGCCTTCTTCAGATCTGCTCTTAGGTTTATGACAGTATCATAAGGTGTTTACACAGCATCATGAGGTGGGAATGTTCTGTGTGCACTACAATATCCATATGAACGCAGGGATTGGCTGCAATTTACTCTCTCACTGGAGGGCTGTTCTGAATGCATTAGCATCAGAATCTGCTCCTGAAGGAATGAATAACAAGATCTCAGCTCTTGTATTCTTCTTCTTCATTTTTAGCTGTTTTAAATGAAGAGAAAGCATGACCAGAAGAATTACCTCTGTGTGTTCTCTAAAACAGCACAGGGTGGGAAGGAGAGGTAGCATGTCCATGTCATGCAGATTGGAAATTAGGCTGAGCTCAGTTCAAGATGCTTGCCATTGAATACTGCTAATAACAAAGCAAGCAGTATTCAGTGTAAATAGTCATCTGAGACTGTTAGAATGTGTCTTTCAGAGCTTGATGTTAGGTATTAGGTTATGATAGTAAATTAATAGGGAATTCTAAAATTTGCTCTCCAACCTAAAATATTTGTCCTCTTGTTTATCTTGACTAGTAGTCTCTCTCTCTCTCTCTCTCTCTCTCTCTCTCTCTCTCTCTCACACACACACACACACACACACACACACATTCTCTCTCCCTGGATGCACCACCGTTGTTCCCAACCCCTTTCTTGCTTCACATTCCACAGACTGCCCACGTAGCTAACTCATGAGCTAGAGTACTTGGATCTAATAAACAGAAAAACAGCTGGAATTGTTCTTCTCTTCAGTCTTATTTGCTACTGTCATTCCTTTATCCACCAATGCAAATTGTGGAGGACAGCAGGTCACCCACGTGTGCAGTGGCACGTGCCAGCTGACTGAGTGATGTAACCGTGGCCCCACGTTAGCAGAGGTAACTGGGCATCAGCCCCTGGGCCCGGAGGGGAGGCCATCTCTCACAGTGGTTTGGCCAATAAAACATGAAGAACAGTTGCATTCTTTGTCCTTTTTATTTCTTTAATAACAAAAAAAGAAAACAAAAACCTATAATTTATAAGCTATTTTTGCTATCTACATTATATAGAAAATATAGACTCTGTTTACTTTATAACACACATCTTTTTCCCTTGATAAATAATTCTTTAAAATATCTAGTATACATGCCTTGACCTTTTATACATAAGTTTGGTTTTATACATATACATACATATATACTCAGCTTCTTTTAAAATCGACTTTCTAAGTCGATTCTAATTGTAGATGATGCAGCAAACCAGAGTTGGGGATTTTCAAAATGTCATTGGCCGATTCTTATAGATGGCCTTGGAGTTTGCTCCCGGTGGTTGAGTATAACATAGGAAAATGTCTTTTCTTAGGGAGTGGGCTTTCTAAGTTCATTTTTTTGTGACTCAAAATTTAGCAGTGCATTGCATTTTTACCTTTACACCCTCTTAACTCTCACCCTGTCTCATAGCCACAGCTGTTGAATTTGACCTGTGGTTGTAAATTAGGTTTCTGATTCTATTGCCTTTATTCTGGAGGTGGGGGTTGGGTGGGATTCGGCATTCTAGTGACACCATCGGTGAAAGTAAATGCAGTTGCATCTGCAGGGACTTTATCTCCTATCCCCCAGAGGTTAAGTGATGGCCACACTGATTTTTAGTGGTAGACCCAGGACTAGAAGCCACGTTTGCTGTCTAAGTCACATCCTGCTGCACACAGCACCTTCATAGCTCTCAGGTGGGGAGAGGGAGGCTCAGAGAGATGAAATGACTTGTCTGAGGTCCCATGGCTACTTAGTGGAAGAGTTGCAATTAGAACTCAGACCTGCAAATGGACCGTATTTCCTGAGTTGTTGCAGCTGAATCAATTTTCTAGAAACTCATTTATGTCTTGAAGGTACTCATAAAAACTAGCTGTTTAAGGTTTCCCACTGTGACTATAATGTGAACAGTTATCTCTAATTTGTATGGTACTTGGCAAGGCTGGAGACGTAAATCCATATGTGGGCCTTTGGGATTTCCTGAGGCCAGTTCTACTAATCTCCCCC